TTAATCTCCACGTACTAGACTCCAAAAGGATATTTATAAAAACTGGTCAAATAAGAAAAATATTTAATAAGGTAAATTTTAATTGAATTTGAAGTCCTAAATATTAAGATCTTCTTATATAAAATTTTAGTTGATTTTGAAGTCCTAAATATTAGAAAAATAATTAAATGACTATTTTGCCTAGTGTGAAATTAACTTTTAAAGGGTAAAAAAAAGCGAACGATATTTCGATAGAGACTTATAATATAGTATGTTTTAGAATACGCACTTTGCGCGTGTATCTTACACCAATAAGTATAAAGCTTTAAAAAGCCATAAAAATATTATTAAACTATACATACCTAATTATTAAGTGTTATGTCAAAAAATTTAAAATTTGATGTTGAGTTAAAGAGTATAATAATTGTGAATATTAGGATAATTTATATTTGATTATAGTATTTATTAGAATGAGTATTTACATTTTTTTTTTGTTATAATTTTATAAAAGGGGTATTTGATTAAAGGGTAATAGACATTCTATTGAATACCCAAGAATCAAGCGAAAATTTTCACAAGAAGTTTTTCTCCATTTTTTTTATTTGTGCTAAGATAATTAGATTATACAAATTAAATTAATTTTAGTTCTATTATCAGTTATAAATTTATAATTAAGAATTAAAAATTGAAGGAGTGCCGACTAATATTATTGACTTTACCTATAGTTTCCTACTTAGTGTTTCTATTTTTTTTTAAACTGCCATCTATTTTGCAAATATATACTTATTTTCATCTTCTTTCACCACATTGCGCTTAATGCAGGATAAAGTATTCAAACAAAATTTCTATGACAAAGAATAATTCAAACCTACATGTAATAATTATATTCTTATTATTGATTATATTATGTTCTTTTAAATTTATAGAATTATTTTATCTTTTACCAAAACACCACATTGATAAAGATAACTTGATTGAGGTTACAATCCTTGATTATCAACTAATATATAAGCAACAACATACAATAGGCAATGAAATATAAATATAGAGAAAACAATTTTAGATCTTTAGATGTATTATAGAAATTTATAACATTGAAAAACCTTTTCTTTCTCAAAGTTTTAGATAGTAAGGTCTTTTATTCCTAAAAAATGGATTAGCTAATATTTGTTTTTGTCTCAAAATATCAACAACTATACAAATCTGCATATTTGTTCAACCTCTTTTTATGAGTCATACATTCTACATGCTTTTGACTTGGTAAAAGAATTTTGTGTATTTAATTACTTTCATCCAGTTAACACATATATACTCTTACAATAGAAAGATTATTTGAAATTGTTCAAGGAATCAGGTACTTTTGCATCTAGTTAGTAGGAATATACATTATATAGTAAGTCATTTAGGTATTGCCTAAAAAATTAAGTCTTTTAATATTATGTTTATTTAGCGTTATGTTTTTTTACTATAATTTTCCAACATAATAAATTAATTCCAATGAAATTCTTTGGACCTACGAATGAGGATATTTCCGAAACTCACACAGAAAAAAAAGTGAGTTAGACAAAAAGAAGCAACTTGGACAAAAAGAAACGAAGTGGCTTAGACAACTTTTTTTTTTGTCGATAACCTCAGATCAATCAATCGAATATTGATTAATACGTAATCGATCGAACACTACTTGAAAATGACTCTTATGTTCCAAATGTTCCTGGAATTTTTTTCTAAAATGAAATAGAATCCCTCCTTTCCATTGTATTAGGTTAAAAATTGTAGGAAACTCAAAGTGACAAATATATAGTAGACATCAAAATCCTAAATATTACTTCATCAAAAATATTAAATTCTTAATTAATTTTATAATTTATATAGTGATTATTATTACTATATTATATTGAACACGATTGAAGCTTTTGGTTAAGTAGTCTTCGAAGTTTATGTGCCTTTAGTCCTTTATTTAGCACCGTATACAAAATATTTCCTTTTGTAATTCAGACTTCAAGGTTATAAGTATTAGGTAATGTAACTTAGAATTATCGTAGTAGTTATGTTACATACATCGTCAAATAAGAAAATACTTTGTGTAAGGTAAAATTTTAAATTATTTAAAGTTTTAAATATTAGGAAAAAGCGATTATTCCTAAATAGTAGGAAATTGATAAGGAAATTATTAATAAACAATTTCTTAGTTGACTAAAAAGTCCTAAATATTAAAAAAATAATTAAATGACTATTACTAAATAATAGAGAATTAATTAAATGACTATTCCTAAATATTAGGGGATATAATCAAATGACTTTTTTATCTAGTGTGAACTCTATTTTAAAAGAATAAAAAAGACGAACAACATTTCGCTAAGGATCTTCGTGCTTTTAATTTAATATAGATATAAATATATAATAGATACAGACATAGATATTGTGCAGGTAGAAAAGTTAATTCGACCCTCAACTCAAAAATGAATAATTCCCCAAAAAGAAGATTTTGAGAATACTTTCTAAAACTAAACCAATACCAAATTCAAGTTGACGAAAATATCCGAAAAATTTACAACAGTATGTACTAGTAGTATATAGACTAGTCTTGAAGTACTTTATATTTATAGTTATAATATTTAAGATGTGCCTAACTGCTCCTATCCACTACAATGAGTCATTAATGACTCTATGAGCATTAAATTTATACTTCAAATAATAATTTGAATTTTGAAATGTACCAAATATATAAATAAATTGTCAATGTCCGTGACGTTCCTTCTTCTACTCCTACTAGCTTTTCTTCTCTTTTCTTTTTCTTTTGCTCTACGTTTTCCTCTTTTAGCATTTGACACAAACCTTGTCAAACTTTAGGCCTTTTTCTAAGAACCTTCCCATACTCACCCCTATATCACATCCCCTCCTCCCAAAACTTTAATTTTTTGTTTAAACAAGTGTCATGATCATATTACTACCCCGTTTTTATTTAATTTGATGATACTGTTTCACCATTAGTATGTATAGAATATTACTTTTGTTTTAAAAAAATAGTTTAAACTTCTTATTTTACTTTTACCAGTATGCTTTAATAATTATAAATTTTGATTCTTTCCTTGAACCGAAGGTTTCTAAAAAATAACCTCTCTATCTTCCTGAAGGTAGGGGTAAAGTTTGCGTACACATTACCCTTATCAGATATTACTTGTGAGATTGAATTTATTATTGTTGTTGTTACTTTAATAATTACAAAATATTGCATGGTAAACTACAAATTCAAAAATACTTTTTTCTTTCTTAACTTGCATGTCAAGACAAACTATGCCGCCTAAATTAAAACGGAGGAAGAAATCAAAATCTTAAAAATTAAGCAACCATTTAATTGTATTAATAATTAACATAACCAAGGCTACCCATGTCATTAACAAAAACCAAGAAAAAAAATTCTATATAAGCCTCCAGCCTAAAACCATTGAACCGGTTTGCTTAACAACAAGAGCAAACCAACTCCTTTCTTCATCTTCATTTTAATTTTCACATTCTAATTCCCTTAAAAAACAACCAAAAAAACTCAAACCCCCCATCCCCCTAAAAATATTAATTTTTATTTTCTTCAGAAATTAAGCTATGGCTTCATCAAAATCTCAGCCACAAAAGAGAATTTGCTATTGTTCTCCAACTAATCATCCTGGTTCTTTTCGATGTAAGCTACACAAAAATGGTCGACAATCAACAAGAAGATTATCAACCTCAAGTAATTATTGGGAATTAGCAGAAATAGCAAAGGCTAATTCTTTAAAAGCTTTTCTTCTTCAAATTATCAAGCCTTCAAGTCATGATCTTCAAAGGAGAAGGAATTTTCAGCCTAAACCTTCCAGGTTTTTTTTGGATCAATAATAATGAAGAACATGGGGTTACTGTTTCTTGAATTTCTTGTTTTTTAATTATTATTATTATTAGAAATGTTTAAATTCCACCTCTCTCCAACCTACATAAATATTTAAGGTAGGTTTTGGAACAGTGGCACATGGACAATGTCACTGGTGATATGTGAATATGAGGGGGTTTTTTCCTGAAAATTTTAAAGTTTTGTTTCGGATATTACTTATCATATAGCCGACCCCAATTTACTTGATATTAGTTATAGTTTTTGATGTTGTATTATGGATTATATATTTGGCAGGAAAAGGAAAAAAACAAAAACAATAGCTTGGATCTAAATTATATTGAGGTTAGAGTATGTGATTTATGTGTATTATGATTTAAAGGGACATGGTGGGGTTGGTTTGTGCTTTATTGCTTTTATTTTGGTTGTTCTTTTTCTTTTTCTTTTCTCCCACGTTCTTGTGAATTAGATATATGGTGTAATTAAGATTTTTTTTTTTTTTTTTTGTAGTGTAAATTGGATTTAGTATTGTAAGAATGGAGAAAAGGAAGAAATAGGATTTAGTTTATTTAAGATGGTGTTTTCCAAGTACTATTTTAGTGTAACTCCATGGTCTGTTTTGTCCTTTCACTACGATATTTTGTCATTAACCACCCCTAAAAAGTGTGGCCTAAACTACCAAAAAGTGTGGCATTTACAACGCTTTTCAACTTTTAGGCAACACTTTTTCGGGGTGTCCTAAACGAGCGTAACTTTTTTCCTAAGGCCACGCTTTACGAGTGTTGCTTTAGAAGTCACACTTCAAAAGTGTAGCCTATACAGTACATAAGCCACGCTTGTATATACCCCTTATAGCAATACTTTTAACTCCTACACCAACACTTTCAAAGTGTGACCTTTGGTATCTTATAGGCCACACTTCTCATGCGTGGCATTTGCAAGCACCCTTGTAAAGTACTACCTTTCATATAAAATTATTTTTTTAAATATATTTGGTAATCATATTTATTATCATATATTTTGTGATCATTTTTAAAGTATAAATATCTCAAGCACTGCATCAAGTAACGAATAACCAAAAAACGATTCATGTGTACACTTGTTATGAACTTCCAAATATATATATATATATATCAAAAAATTTAAAGGTGCGTCCTAGCAATGAACATAAAAAAAAATGAATATATATGTATCATGATAATACTTTAAACACATCAAACAGCTAAAGCTAGCATCTATTGGAAACCTCATTTGCTATCCACTTAGCTACATGTAATTTTTCTGATACATGACTGGTTTAAGTCCAATCGCATCATCTCCTGATTTTAAAAGTGATCCGTTTTTGTAAGCTTGACCTCCACATTAATTTAAGCCCCATGTAACCTTTCCTTGTTCAAACCAGCAGAAACTCTGAATGTTTCTGGACCTTAAGTTTCCCATTTGTATTTTATTTGTTCTCATCAATAGCTTTGCCTTCCCATACCTACAATTGGGACAAACAAAGATGCATTATTTGTTATAACCTACTAATAATGTAAAAAAATTATATTTCTATGTCAACTCCAAATATATAATGTCAGATGAATACTATAAAGTTGGAGGGATTCAAATACATGAAAGCACTAATTGTTGGGGCATATACCTGGGGGGGACCCATTGCACCTTGGAAGAGTACGAAAATGATAAGGTTAAGTGTTTCCAAAGCAGTAAAAGATGGGCCTAAACAACTACAATATATTGGTCGGGAAAATCTATTTTGCACATTTGATGTCGAGGTCACTATTCTTCACCTAACAAAATACTTATAAAAGAAAGGAATAATGTCAAATGTTTAGTTAGAAACATTATTGGATGCATTTCTTTGCTTATGGAGAAAGAGAAAAGAGAGAATTATTAACTGTGCCCATAGAAGCCCAATGATCCAGTTTGTAGACTGAACTTTACACCACCTGTGCATTTCAAAGTGCACCACACTTATTTGACAAGGTATACCAGTTTGAAGAACTATTTTTCGCATCAAAATAATAAGCTAAATTGCACCAGATCAATCCATTTTATGCACCGGGATAAGGAGCTATATTGCACCAGATCAGTCCACAAATTACACCAACACAGTAAATGTCTTGTACATGCTGTCAACGTTTCTCTACAACAAGATCTAAAATTTTTAAACGAACAAGTAGCATACTGAACGATGACTGCATTTCAAGTGAAGAGGATTACTAAAATATCAACAATTTGGTGAACAAAAGAGACAATATGATCATTAAATTGAAGCACACAGGATTCTGTGTCAATGGCATCAACCGTTCTGTGCTTTAAGTAGTTCTGCACATCCTTTATCAACAGATAGTGTATTTCCATTACCTTAACAGTCAAAGAGATGTTTAATGGAGAAATCTTCCTCAAAAAGCATCAAGCATGATTGAAACACACTACTCTTAGACCACAAAGTTAAACAGAACATGATAAATAAAAAGTTACAAAGATCTTAACATGATTGAAATAAACAGAAAATGATAAATGGAAAACGAACACAACGAGCAACAAAACTATTTTTCATCATGTCCCTGACAAATTAAGATAACAATTTTTGACATAGTGGAGAGGAAACACACTACTCTTAGACCACAAAGTTAAATATATGTTATACCTTCTCTCACAATGCTATTAAATAGGGACAAGATTATATAAATTTTTACGAGATACTAACTAGCCAGAGTGTGCCTCAACAAAGCAAAGCAATACTATACTACAGACAAAGGAAATAGTGCAAATAAAGGAAATAAGATTACTTATATGAGAACAAGACAAAGAGATTAATCATCTATAATACAAACATACTGTAGTTTCTCTTTCTTCTTTTGAGAATTGTAAAAACACAATGTAGTTACATGTTTAATTTTTGTACCTGGATGGTATGCTTATTGTCTGAAGATCTCTGTACTTCTTGGTCAGACCATGGCCAATGGTGTATACCTGTTATAAAAAAATAAAACAATCAAAACCGGTTTAAAGCTTCAGGTTCATGCCACCGGAATTGTTTCTACATTAAATTTGTAAACTCAGCTCTAACATAAATTCAAAACGGAATTGTGTCGTCTTGAAATATTCGAGTTCTTCGATTAAAAACAGAAGTTTTTAGTTTTATTCAAGTCAATCAAGCTGAGTTCCACCAAAGAAATGTGGTCTAGCTAAATTCGTGAGTTTCACAACATTTTATTATTTAAGCGGACATTTCAAATATCATTGGAAATCCCTACTCTTCCTTCGTTATCCAGGAGAAACAAAAGAGAACCAAAAGAAATTGAAACAAATGCATTATCAAAAATATAAAAATATTAAAATTTAGGTGAAGTATGCTAGACAATAAAGCAGTATAACAAATTCTAATAGAACAATTTCAAACCTCTTATGTGAAACCCACAACAAATCTATCCATACACAGATACATTAAAAGATCTACAAATCGTCTAACCCGTGTTTTTCCCAAATTCAGAAGAAAGGCACAGAATTCCCTAAAAATCTCATTTACTCTACATTCAAAAATAAAACTAAATACTGCAATTTCTCCAATTAAATGCACATACCAAATAAAAGCAGAGAATGCCTGGATAAATCGAGTAGTGACATGAATAAACCCTATACTGGTTTCAAAAAAATCGATAAAACTCTAATGCCGAACCTTTCTTGTTGTCTTTAGAAGCCGAGTGAATTAAATCAGATCATCTTCTGAAGATCGTCGCCGACTGGGTGTCATCGACTGTCCTTTCTTTTGAAAAATCTAGTAAAGAAAAAGTTTTCTTATTGGGTTTCAAGCCCTAGACCTAGAGTGAGGGTGAAGCTATGGAAAATTTTAGAGGGGAATAGTTTAAGTTAGAAATTTTAGAGGGAGTAGTTTAAGTGGGAAAGTTTTGTATGAATTTCGTAAAACTTTTAGACCACGTTTGTACGGTGTTGCTTTTTAAAATACCAAAAGTAATGCTAGTAAAACGTAGCTTCATATGTGGATAAGCGTTCTCAAAAGATTTTACATTAGGCAACACTTACAAGGTGTAGTCTTCGTACATAAAGAGCACGTTTTACGAGTGTTACCTAAATTTCGTTGCCAAAAGCTTTTTTAATAAAGGCCACCCTTATAAAAGCGTGCCTATAGTTATTTTTGGCCACATTTTTCAAGTGTTGTCTATAAAAGTGTTGCCGTAGGTCAATTTTGTTGTAGTGTTTTTTTATTCACCATGTATTCGCATTAAAGTTTCGATAAATTCAAATTCGTGTTATATCAGATTTAGTTTTATTAAGATTTTTTTTCATTTCAAAAAATCAAATTCGAAACATTTAATTAAAAGATGATATTCGCTCTATTTTGCAGCAACCATTAGAATTAGATGGTGGTTTACAAGTAATATTTTAGTGTACTTCCGTATATGGTCTTCAATGCATTGTACATAGCTATATACTTTGAGTTCTCAGAGTCACTTTTACACCTGTGATATGTGATTAATAATATGAGAAAATTCATTTTAGACTACATTTTCAATTCCAGCTGATTATATTTAATTTTCTCTCTTGATAAATGGTACGAATGTAGTAGAATTTATACTTGTTCTTCTGTATTTCTTAATATTGCTGATACATGTGGAGGCAATATGCATTGAACATATGACTACGAAATTAGTAGAATTGAAAACCATAAATGCAGACAGTTTTCTCGTGCTAGATTGAGATATATATCCATGTTTCATTAAATTGATCTAGTATATAAGTGGAAAAGGTACCAAATACAGAGAATCAACCTTTTGTTTCCTTTCTACGCAAAAATGTAAAATATTATTAACCAAACACTCATGTTCCATAAAAGTTACAACTTACAAGCCTACAATTATTGTTTATGTAGCAAATTTTCATTCCCGAATTACCTTTTTAATCAGAGAAATAAGTAAACATCCTAATCAAAATTAGATGAATAAACACATTAAACTTTCTATAACCACCAAACAAAAAAAAAGTTGCTCAAGTGGCAAGCACTCTACACCTCTAATTTTGAAGTTATAAGTTTCTGAGCAAACAAGTAGGAAGCTTCTTGGAGTTGGGGGGAGGGGGTAGAGATTTTATGAGTTAATAATTCTTTTACGTTTTTTAATAAAAATGTTCTTAATTCGAACTTAATTGGAATGCATATGTTGCCCTAATAAACTCAAGATTTTAAAACAAAGAAAAATAAGTTTATTCGTTTGATTTATTCGATATGATCATAATAAATAAATAAACTACTTGATCTAATTTGATTATTAAATAATTAAGTATCAAAGAACAAACAAATAATTTGGAAATGGTTGTGAATTGAACAGGTTAGGTTATGACCTATTGTTTAGTAAATAATGTTGACCCACCCTTCTTTGTAACAAGCAAATGTTGGCAGGTTGTGACCCAACCCATTTATTAGTTAATTGTAATCCAGAAAATTACATCTCATGACGTTAAAAATAGATGGACTTGATTTTTTGACCCCTGCTTTCCCCATGGGCAAACCTTTAATGTCAAAAGTATTACTCATGGGGCAAGCGAGGGATAATACGTGTTTTTAAAAAAAAAATGAAACCACCATTGGTGGTGATTAGGCATATCCTAATCTATGTATTGATTATAACAATATACATAGCCAGTATACTGGATTTTTGTCCAAGCCACCCTGCGAAATAAGAAGGATGAATAATTCATTCTTGTACAAAAAGGTTCCTGTGACAGTATACATGGGATTAGGCATTAAGTTTGGGAAACTTCTAGGTTTCTTAGTTACAAAAATTCCAAGAATAATTAACCATTATCAAAAGTAAAGGCCTTCCTTTGAGCTCGTATTCTGAAATTTGGGATTCCTTCCATATCATTCTTCAACTAGTTTTTAGCCCCATTAGGTAGGGTCAAATCCTGTGTGAAGAATGTATTTTGCTTTTGTCTCTAACCAAAATTAGCTGCAAGATTATTTACTTCTTTGTAGCAATGTTGGAACTTGAATTTGCCTTGTTTCTTCAAGTTGTTGATCTGGCTTGTGATATGCAGAATATGTCTATTAACATTGTTTTGATTATTGATCATGTTAATGATGATCATAGAGTCAGATTCAATATCCACATTCCTGAATCCATTGGTAATGCACCATTGGATTCCATAAAGAATAGCCTAGGATTCAGCTACATTATTAGACCATTGTCATCTCTTAGAACACCACCTCCTCCTGCATTTTCTGAATTTCCTTTGCTACACCCATCAATGTTCAATTTGAATCTACCAGGGCTAGACTAACTCCACCTAAGACTTTTGATATTTATCATGGGTTTGAGTATTTCAATGTGTAGAAGAGTATCGCCTCATTGATGTTGTAGATTGACTTGAGGAAATTGGGAGGTCAATAATATTATAATTTGATAAATAATCTTGTTGATGATGTTACCTGAAAGGCTTTTGATGCCATCATACTTGTACGTCTGGCTTTCCATATTTTCCAACAAATGAGCAGAGGTAGACAGTAAATAAGAACTGTATGAACTCTATTCTTTGTCTTGCTCAGCCACCATGTAATAAGAGTATCTCTTATTCCTCCTTGTCTAATAATAATACTACAGCTATTGGAGAAGTATTTCCAAAACTTTTGAACAGATGATCCACACTCTCCATGTTTCCTGCTTTGCAACAAATGCACGCTGAGGGTCCATGAACTTTAAATCTTTGCAATGCTTCATCAGTATGAAATTTGTTGTCCATTAACCTAAGCATAAAAAAGAGATCTTGTAAGGTATTTTATTTTTTGCCAGATCTTGGAGGCAGTAAATGTAGGATTTCTAGTCTTTCTTAGTACTTGCCAAGCCGATTTAGTAGTAAAAAAACCACTTTGATTTGGGGTCCTAATAGAAAAATTAGTGTTATATTTCAAAATTTCAATGGTGGAAATACGACTAACCATGTAGTTTGGAAGAACAATATGCAATTTGGTAAAATTCCAAGCCCTATTAATGATGAATTCAGAAATTCTAATATTTTTTGAATGATAAGTATTTGAAAAAGATTGAGCAAGAGGCCCAAAGCCAAGCCAGTTATCCCACCAAAAACAAATATTACCTTTGGCGATTTTCCAAACAGTAAAATGTTCATAAAGATTTATGGAATCAAGAAGTCTTTTCCAAATATGAGATTGTCCTGAAGCCCATTTTTTGGAGATAGGATGTACTCTTAGACAATATTTGTTTTCGAGAAATTCTTTCCAAAGTGAATCTTTTGTTCTGAAATTTCACCATACTTTGGCTCCAAGGGCATGGCTGATATCTTGGATGGATCTAAAGCCAACCCCACCCTCAAAAGTAGGGAAACATAGTTTTCACCAAGCAGTCCAATGCATTTTCTTTTTACCCTCCCTATCACTCCAGAAATAATTAGCCATAATCTGTTCAATTTGCTTAATGGTAGTTTTGGGAGTTGGATTACAGAAAAAATATGTAAGGGAATGAAAAACGGACAGATTTAATAAGAATAGTCATATCTCCATTAGATACTATCTTACCTTGCCAACCCTGCATTCTTAGAAACTAAGTTTCCAAGGTAGATAACCTTTTTCCTTCCAATATAAATAGGGGCTCCTAAATAATTGAAAGAAAATTTTTGTTGTTCATAGCCTGTTATCTGCTTGATATCATTAATGACAGATTGAGTAGTATTGGGTCCAACTAAGAAACAAGACTTATTCTTGTTAATAAGTTGACCATAACAGCTTTCATATATAGCTAGCTTATTCATTATGCTCATTAGAGATAAAGGATCTCCGGAGAAGAACAAAATAGTATCAACTGCAAAACTGAGGTGAGTAATAATAGGGCAATTTCTATCAACACTATAAGGAATAAACGCCTTATTTTTTTTAATTGGTCAATAAGAATAGAGAGTAATTCAGAACCAATAACAAAAAGAGAAGGATAGATTGGAACACCTTGCTTGATTCCTCTACTGGCTTTGAAGAAACGATGTCTTCCACCATTAATATTAATGGAATACCAATTATTAGAAAGTAGCCTCCAGATCATGTCAGTCCAATAATTGGAGAAGCTATTTTTTTTTAATAGTTGACAAAGGTATTTCCAATCTACTTTATCACATGCTTTATCCATATCAAGTTTTAACACTATATTGCCATTAAAATTATTCTTACCGATATTATATACCATTTCCTAGGTTAGCATAATGTTATTCGAGATAGATCTACCGTTAAGAAACCCAGCTTGATTTGGTGAGATTATTTTATGTATCACCTTTGCAAGCCTGGTGTTCAGCATCTTGGAGATGATTTTACAACTGAAATTGCTAAGATTTACAGGTCTTAGCTCAGTAAACTTCCGGGGGTTCTCAACTTTAGGAAGAATCATGAAACAAGTATGAGCGAGTGCTTTTGGTAATTGATTACCTGCAAAGAAATCATAAATCATTAGATAAAGATCCTTAGCAATGATTTCCCAACAATGTTGGTAGAATTTTCCAGAAACACCATCTGGTCTACGAGCACTGTCGGGACTTAATGAAAAGACATCTTTTATTTTTTCCAAGATAGGAGGGGCTCCAAGCATTGTATTGTCATCTTCAGTGAACACTTTAGGTAAACAACTGAGGATGCTTAAGTCTCTTTGCTGTCTTGGATCAGTAAACTTCTTGCCAAAGAAATTTATAGCTTCATTGGCTATATCCTCATTGCCTTCAACCCAAGTATTGTCTTCTTTTGAATTTTCTTAAGAGTCGGCTTCCTTCTTTTAACATTCATGATAGAATGAAAAAATTTGGTATTTGCATCTCCTTCTTTAAACCATTTCATTCCTACTCTTTGTCTCCAATAAGCTTCTTCCTTTTTGGTGTGCATAACCAACTCAACATTTGCTTTATTCAGCTCCATCCTATTGGTTTCACTGTTGTCT